TCCAGAAGGCCTTGGAGAATGGCTTTGACAGCAGGACGGTTTATATAGTGAAGTGTCTTAAGTGATGTTCCCCAGAATCTGACTGGGAAATAAATACTAATATGCTTACTCCATACTTGCTTAGTTGCCAGATGTGACAGTCATTCCTTCTCAGAGCATAAAGTGGTGTCTGCATTGCCAGGCACAGCAGGCTACTAATAATCTATGGAAAGCTAAGTTTCTGAATTTCATTAACTATATCTGATTTTATTTATTTTGTTTTCCTAGTACATTGGTAATAACTTAAATTGCATTCTAATGCTTCAAGATTTCGATATGTGTTGTGAGAATCCAAAGCAAAATGCATAAGTACTGTAATAAGAATCAGTCCAAAGATTGAGAAGTAGGAATAGAAGTAATATTTCAACTTTAATCGAAAATGAACATGGCTTTGCTAATTACCGGTAGATGTTCCATATTAAGGAAAAAAAAAACCTTGAAAGCCTACAGTGAGCTTATTGGTATAATGGATATTTTACAGGCTATCAAGTTAGCATAGAAGTTTTCAGTATTTTGAATAGTAATGATTAATGTAAATATCCTGGTTTTAATTTCTAATAGTATACAGTAGAATGATCATGTAGCTAATATAATAGCAAAATATAAGTAAAAAGCTTTTGTTCCTTAAGAAAATCTGCTTCTCATACAGCATAATTTAGGGGTCTGATTCCCATTCATTATGTTGTCAGAGTAAATGGTTCAAGAACTAAAATGTTTAAATCGGTTATAGGAAAGATTTTTTTAAATGTTGTTTTAATCTCTAGGCTTTTAGAAGCTAAATATTTTAGCAGCCACTAGACCTAATGTTTGAATTTTTAACTACAATTAAACTTCAAAAGCTGAAATTACAAGCTCCAGTCATTAACTTGAGCTTGTGATACATCCTGAACTCAACTCCACTGTGTTGAAGTTCCTGTACAAACTGCAAATAGCCACCACTTCACGTATTTAACTACATCATAAAAAATAGGTGTTATGAAAACAGTAAGAGTTTCATGTAGTTCTAATGAAATGTATTTAAATAGAGAAGATAATAGGAAAGTATAAAATAATGTGCTTGCTATGATGATGAAATAGTCATCCAAAACACTGGAGAATCAGCATTCTAGTATGTCTCCATTATTACCTTATACTATTTTTATTTCTCATCGTTTTTATCCCCCCAGCAACATGGTGATAGGAAAGGCACCTCATCCCAGATGAGCTGAAATTGAAATCCAAGTTGATAAAACCCCAGAAATTCAACCAAACTTTGCTATTCAGTAAAAATGTACATGTGTAGAAAAACTTGTATCTCAAGCAATAAAATAATGGATGTGATTTAATCTGGTAAAAAATAACTGATGTGCAAAGTACTTGTTAAGAAAACTAATTGAATTTCCAGGTGAATAAAAGGAGGGAGACGACTAATTGCTGTGCTGGATTGACATCTGCTCTACCTGTAGGAGGTAGGGGCAGTGTGGCAGTTGGGTGGCTTTCTTGGTCAGTGTCACCTGCGTGATCCTGCTGTAGCTGATTTAGAGTCTGTGCTGGTGTGGTTCACCTTAGGAAAGTTCCTGACTTTCTTGGAGGTGATGGGAGTGGATGACAATTTATTAGTTGTAAGAGGTAAACTGTTAAAAATCATTATGGGACCTGGGGCATTGCTTTGAGGCATATCGAAACTCTGCAGTGGTGGAGGTGGGGGCTTCTTGCCCAGTCTGGATGAGTGGAAGAGGTAGAAAATGGCTATAAATGGTAGAAAATAGTAGCCAAGCCAGTTCGTGTGGGTTGGAAAGTCCGTCCAGTGAGGAGGTGTTAGAGTCGCATTTAACACCACTGGGGGTTACAGCGTTAGTGACAGTGAGCCAGAGAAACCAAGAATGGCTGTAATTCTCAGAGTGACTTGTCAGAAAGTCCGCTGGTTAGAAAAGAAACATCTTTTTACTTGTAAGCTGAGTAAATTTAGTTTGGGCACAATTGAGAAACAATAATTACAGAATCCCACAATTCTGGTTTTTTACAATCAGTGTTCACAATAAACTGCGCTAAAAAAAAAAAAAAATCACAATGCTGGTTTTTTACAATCACTGTTCACAGTAAACTGCGCTCAAAAAAAAAAAAAAAATCCAACCCCAAACCAAAAAGAAACATTTTGCCCAAGCTGTGAACATAGGGGTTTTTTGTGCTTCCGTAGCAAAAGTTTCCTGCTGGTGTATCATACCCTGGGGAGAAAACATAGATGGGACTCTTAACTAGCATTATCGCTATGACCTGTGATTGTAACACAGCAAAAAAAAATAAATTGCTTATTATATTGCTTACATCGAACTGCTTATTATATTGCTTAATTCAATGATTTCAGAATGCTTTTAAGTAGTTAAAGAAATGGCTTCTTGAAAGAGGCGTGTCGTGGTTGTACCCGTGGGCTGCGTTTCTACGGTGGTTTCTCTCGAAGCTGGTACCAGGAATCGAGTGAGATGGTAACTCTGGGGGCGTAGTGTTGTGACAAAATTTGAATTAAAAAATAAACGCCCTTGTGAATTTCAGCACACCAAGAATGCAGCTCTCCCCAGCTGTATGCATTCATAATTTTACAGTATTTTCTTTCGAGGCATTACTTGATCGTCGGAGAGTGAGTTATGGGTTCGGCGGCGAGAGCCTGTGTCTGCTCACGCTCACCTCGGGCTGGAAGCGCTGGCAGGAAACCCTGCGGGGCTCAGCAGCGCCGCAGAGCTCCCACCTTACTCAGCAGATGACAGTCTGATTTAAAAAATGTTATGTGCAATCTCGGCACCTGTTTCTTGCTTGAGAAGTGGTGTATTTTCCACATATCTCAGCAAAATATGGGCAGAAGTCTTCATGGGATTTGGGTTTTTACTGGGGAATGTTTTGCTTGATAGTTTTACGTTTCTCTGCAGGTGCATTCAACTTGCTTCATGTGAAATAGGCAGATGTGCTCTTTTCTAATTGCAGTTATAACGTCCACAATGTTATGGAAATTGCTGCCATTTTTTTAGCTAAAAAATAAAATTGTCCATATTGCCAATGATTTACATCTCTAATTTTCAAATGTAGCTTTCTATAGTCAGAACTGCTGCTTTTCTTTTTAACTGCTGCTATGAAGAAAAGGAGTCCTAGAACTGATTTCACAGAAACTATAAAGTCATTCAAGACAATGAAAGATCTTGCTTTTTTAACCTTTCCGAAAGTCACTCAGTTGAGCAGTCAGGCTGTATTATTCTATATCTTGTCTAACATGAGGAAACAGTCCCAAAAGAAAGATATCCCAAATTAACGCCACACTTCGTTAAATAGAGACATTCTTGGTTTTCACCAAGCTAATTCGATCCAGTTCAGTTAACTCATTTTTTTTGTCCTCGGATCACAAAAGGCAGCCATGAATGAAGCAAGTTCATCATGTGTTTGACACATCAGTGTGAAGCTAAAAGGCGGGCTGTGAAGGAGGGTTCCTGCCTTTAGCTGTTCAGACAATACCCGATGAAAGAGGCCCCTCATTCAGAAGTGGTCTCCAGCAAACCCGGCAGGCTGCTGCGGATCGCTGTTACAAGCAGGTATAATGGGCATTAGCCAGAACTTGATTTGTCAGACACCTCTTGATTTCTCGTTGTGGCTGTTTGTGTAATTCAATCTTTATCTAATAGCCTCCGGCCAGCAGATGGTTCATGGGATTTCTGTGTGAGCTGAAGACTGCCTACTTTGGAAATGAAGAATAGTTTACAAAACAATGACATTAAATGTTAAAAAAAAATAAATTGCAGTGTAAACCAAAATTAAGTTGTAATATAACCAAAACTCTTTTCTTACAGAAAAAAATCAGGTTTTACCTTTTTATATAATTTATGTTTGTAAATTATGTTCCTTCTGCTTTTACACCATGAAATGTATGGCTTATAAATTCAGATAAGTTTGATGAACAGTCACAAAATTAATGTTCCTTACTTTAAGCTACCTTTAAAATAAAAAAAATAAGTGTAAATGTATTTTTGTAACCTTTTGCATTATTCTCAGTCAACAAACATTACCCTTGACATGCAGTTTGACGAACTAGTAGATTCTGTGATGTGCAAGAATGATGTCTGCTATGATGCTACGGAGTAAATAATATTTGTGAGCCATATCCAAATTCGGAACACATTTTCTGAGAGTTAGTTTTCCCTCCAGACTTGCTGTACCAAGTCCATAAGAGCACAGCAGCACTGATTTTTGATGATATTTGCCAGGAATTGCATCAACCTGAGAGACCAGTGGACCGTTTCTGAGGCCTGACGCTTAGGCAGTGGCTGCTTTTGTCAGGGCACTTTCGCAGTTGAGGAAGAAAAAAATCTCAATATGACGACATCACAAAATAGCTTTGCTTTTGGGGTATGTGGGACAATCCCTAGGTTTATAAATTAATAGATATTTACTCAATTTTAAGTACAAAATAAATGTTGCTGGCAGAAGATTTTTTCTGAGTTCTGGCTTAAGCTGGTGATCTCACTGGAATTTCTGAAAGACTTTTCTCCTCTAGTAACTGCCGTGAAAGCTGGGAATACGTGTTAGTCTGCAGGGCTTTGTTGTTGTTTTTTAACAATCTCATCCCAGGGACCTGTTTCCTTAATAATTCATTTAAAGTATCTCTTTTTCCTTAGAAGCTTGAGGTAAGTGTAGAAAGAGAAAAGCAAGGAAGCCCTATTCGCAGTATCCTTTCTTATTAGTTGCTTATTCATTAGTTGCTTATTTTATGACAAAAAAGAATATGAATTATTCTTTGTTTACAATTTTTTGTATATATGAAAATTTCCATTAATTGAGTATTTTCCTACTCTTCCCAAATTCAACAAATCAAGAAAATAAATTATATTAAATAACTGTATAGCTTTATACCTATATACCTAAGGCAATAGAGTCTTCTAATAGCTGTTTTGGTCAGATAAGTATGCAGTGCTAATATCTGGGGCTTGTTTTTTCTCCCACAGTATTAATATGAATCCTTCTGGCATTGAGGATCTCAGGAAAACAATGGTGAGTTTTGAAGTGTTACAGAAAGCAGTCAGTAAATGCCAATTAATTGGTGCTTGACACAATGTGAGCTGTTATTCTTGTTCAGCCTCTTCTAAAGAAATACTGGGGGGTTGTTGGTTTTAGTGTAATGTACCCAGAAAATCTAATTAGAAATTTAAGGGTTGATATAAATTTGGAAATAAGAGTTTTACACTCCATCTGCAGTGTACCTCTAGTGTGATGAGGTAGAGAAGAAGGGAGAAATTATATCTTTACACAGAAAGTCAAAAGAAAACTGTTGTTTTGGGGTATTTCAGATGACTAGAAAAGAGGGGCTCTGCATTAGGCAGTGATGTGTTAATCAACCTTACGGGAGTTTCCTGCCACCATAGTCAGAGACTTGAGGACAGACTTCAGACGGCAAATCAAAATGGAAGTAATGAACTGATAGACGATAGAATTAATAATACAAATAATAAATGAAGAGCCTATCAGAAAACACAAAAAATGGAAATGCTAGAAGTTATTATTCAAAATACTCTTTTGACTCGAAAAGTATCTAGAGTAAATTGTGTACTAGTTAAGACAAAATCTGCCAAATTCCTGTACATTGTCTTTGTTTGTAGGAAACCGTTTTCTTACTAGAATTTGTTCTCTGAATAGATGAAATCTATAAGAGTGGGTTTGTTTTCAGTCTGTAAAATATATAGAAAACTAGTTTCACAAGCAAATATGACTTTATACTGTTTGGTTTTTGCTGGTTTATGTAAATGATTTGTAATAACATTTGATGTTATTGTAAGTGCCCAAGTTTTTATAATGTAAGTAACTGGTGGGAGATGTCAGAGTATATGAAGTCTGCCTTTGATCAGATAGTAAACTGAATTCTACCAGGCAGTTACTTAATCTCTGACAAAAAGAAACATCAAAAAAACTGATTTAACTTCGCAGCTATTGTCTGTAAAGTAACTATAATTACAGTTTCTGTGTGCTCGCAAATGTACTACTGCAAATCATGTAATTTATTGCTGGTAAAAACATTGGTTTAATTCTTTTAAGAAATAAGATGTGAATTGTTTTATTTAAAGGATTTAAAGGTGATAAAAGAAATCCTTGATGATTTTTCTTTTGGAATACCAGCTAGCCTAAATGTCAGTTGTAGGATTATGAGGTGGTGCTCATTTAATACAAAATACAAATTAGGAGGAGAAGAAACTATATCTCAGCCATAGTTTTGAATGAAACCATTTGATTATTTTTTTTTAATGCTCAAGATTTCTCTCTGAGGTGTTTGAAGTAATTTATTATTAGGCTTTGCAATAATAACCCTCACCAAATTATTACATTTCTTCCTTGTGCATCACATTTAGTAATTATATTTGTATGTCTTCTACTCTGGTGCCAACACCTGTCTCCTAAAGCGGTGTGTAAATGGGAGCAGTAGCCAGTTGAAAGGGCAGCGTGAGCTCTTTAAGGCCTAATTAAGAACTGAAAGGAAGATGAAGTAAGTAGGACAAAAGATGTGAAAGTAGCTTAGATGATATTCCCAGAGCAGAATTCCTCATTAGAACAATAAAGAGATGATCAGGGATTGCCAGGCCTTCATTGTATCGAGCTGCATTTCCTCTGGCTCTCAGTGTGTACCCCCATAGTATTTTGTAATAGTCATAGTTTCCATAGCTTGTTATTTAGAACTTTTTTTTTCTTAATAAATCATTATGAGATTAATATTTTGTTTTAAAAATATAGTATCTGTTTTTGCAAAGTTATAGTGGTACCTCATGCTTTTAAGTATCGCTTAATTGCTCAGCCTGAACATTTAAAGTATTTTAAAATATAACTATTTATTTCTAAATACTAACATCCCTTAGCTAGAATTTTCTTGTGCAATTAACATGATAGGTCATTACCCCCAAAGATCTATGTGGAACATGTGTATGACAAAACATCATTTAAGTGTATGCATTACAAACAATTTTCCAGTAAGCATTATATAATAATTAAATACATCGTTACATCCTAATTCCTGTTCCTCTGCCAAAACAGCAAATTAGGCAAACCTTATATTTTAGACATGGAATTCTTAATGATGTCTTTTCCAATGTGTACAAAAATTTTGAAAAAATTCAGGAAAATTTAGAAAATTTTTACTTCCTTCTTGTAGAAGAAAAAATGCTAAAAATATAATGACTATAAAGTGAAGTTGTTTTCTCTTCTACACTTGTTGGAAATCAGTTACTAACCAATTTATAAATTTCATCAAGTTGGCCATTTTAATAACATGGGAGTTATTGATCACTTACAGTCTTGTAACTCAGTGTTTAAAATAGTGAATGCTTGTACATAAACATGACATTAAATATCTTAAATGTAGTGAGAAACCCTTAAAAGCACATATTTTTAAGAGCTATGATTAGAATATAACTGATGGAGAGAGGCTGATTGATCCGTCGTGCTTGTAGTGCACCATCGCTTTTAATTAGGTTTATTTGAAAACTTTGGCCACCTGCGTGTTTTAACGATTCGACATATGCCAATGTGCAAATATGGAGCTGTACGGGAAGAAGAGGAGAGGAGTGTGGAAAAGGAATGAACATGACTTTATCATGTGGTGGGCTTCCTAGCTGAGCAAGCTTTGTCAAGTTTAATGGCAAGTTTCTACTGTAAACAGAAGCTATCTTTGTTCTTCTTCTGCCCTATTAGAGGTGTGGGATTTGAGAGGTTAGATTATTTTGCTTCATTAGAGGTTCTGTATCTTTTAAATGTCCCCGTTTCTGAAGCAAATAAAACTTTCCACTTTGCATATGTAACAGTGCTTATACAAGTAAACCGAGTCTCACTGTCTTTTTTCTCAGTTATACTTATCCAGATTTTTCATAATATGGTTAATTAAGGTCACAGCTAATTCTTCTTGACATAGAATAAGACATTCAAGTTTAGAGTACCTTGAATCACATCTTGCCCTTTGTTGAGGGGGCCAATTTGTCCAGCTGTGCCAATACCTGCACTTACTGAGCCATCAGGAATCATCCCTGAAACATTTCTGTTTTCCCTACTGCTTAGTTCTGGGTCCTTCCTACTTTAAGGCAAGCAAGCAAGATCCTTTAGTAGGACACATTTCTCTCACATGCTCTGGTGCAAACAAGATGCAGCCTTTTAGCTTCACCTTGAAATTTGAAACTGGGCAACCCATCTCTAGGTTGTCTGCTCCAGCGGTGAGGGTACTGGAGGGAACTGCAGGTCTGTTGTCAGTGAAAAATTGCTTCTGTCAAGAGGTGCACGTGAGAAACAGATGAAAAGTGATAACCCATCCATTTGTTCAGAACACTGAACAGCTTAGTAAAATCTGTGTCTTTTTTTCTTAAACTTACCTGCAGGATGGAAATCCTTTCGACGCCACTGCAGGATACCGAAACCTTACTTATGAGGAGGTTTTGCAGGAGCTGGTGAAACATAAAGAGCAACTTAAGAAGAAGGACACTCATATTCGTGAACTTGAGGATTACATTGATAATCTTCTTGTACGAGTCATGGAAGAAACACCTAGTATTCTCAGAGTGCCATATGAACCTTCTCGAAAAGCTGGCAAATTTTCCAAAAGCTAAGACAGTGGTACTCGGTGGTACTTTCTGCTGAATACATTACTGGAAGGAAATCACATTTTAACACTTTGACTTCTCTTCATTCCTTTTCGAGTAAGAAATTCAAGGAATCAGGGAAGGACGGTACTATGATCTGGGCTTTTTTCATTTGTTTTTTACTCTGAACACTAGCAGGGACTGCCAAAAGCGATATTCTGTTAGATTAGCTAAATAACTTTTTTTTTTTTTTCCATTTTGAAAACGCCTTTAGGTACAGAATACTTACGGTAGAGTAAATAATACACATTAAATATGTCCATGCATATATATATATATATATTATAACTTGTGTTCACCATGTGGCAGTTTCAACTGGGAAGCCTGTGCTGTTGTGAATGTTTCTTGAGTGATTATTGGTTATTATGCAAATACAACATGTATCAGTTCTGCTAATACAGCATGCCATCAAGACCGCTGTTTCCAAGCCAGCATAGTATGATTTACTGAACCCAAGTGTGGTTTGTCGCAATGGAATGTAGTTTGTTCTACACATATTAGAGGAAAACGGTGATGCACAATCCTTGCAGAGCAAATGCTGTATTTCTGTACAACGTGCTTTTTGCATAACGACGTAAAAAATGCCGTGCTATTTCAGCGATGGCACATGCTGGAATCAGTTATTCCACATTTAAATACTGAATTTTGTGTATAATGATTGAACTTTGGTAGTGAGCTCATGACATAAGGTCGTTTTGAGGATTCCTTTTGTAATGAAGTTATTGCATGCCTTTTTATATGTTAAAGTACATCCAGTGTTAATAGAGGTGGAGATAGGACTGGAGAAAAGTATGGAATATAGACATGAATACTTTCTTCAGTAAAAGTCTATGACAGTGAAAATGTAGGAGAAATGAACAGAGTGACTAAAATAGGATCATTTGAAAAATATAGAATTGACTCAATTTAAGGTTGAGTTTTACATGACATATCTCTCTTTGGTTTTTTTAATCTTATGACAATGACGTATATGCCTTTAGAAACAGGCTATGTTGCTTAAACATATAGCGTACTTAGAAAGGCTTTTCATTTTAAAAAGTCTATATTCCTTGTAGGTACTTCTAAAAGTCAGTTTTCATTGAGGCAAATGAAAGAATGTAGTAAATGTCTTCCTGATAATTTAGTAATTTGTTGTAAAATTACTTATGAAAAAGGTATCTGTTACTCCATAGATTGACAAAATGATGGATGTATAATGGGAAATACTGTAGGAGAAGAATATTCACAATATTCACATAAATAGATTTTTAATTTTACTTTACTTCGTAAGAGTCTCGGTTGGATTGTCTGTTGCTGTGAAACAGTAGGATTAAAAAAAAAATAGAGAATATTTTAGATTTGGATTTAAGAAAATCATCTTCTCCTCTTCTTTTTCTACACCTGAGAGGTTTTTTTTCTTACAGCACCACCATGTAATGGCTGTTGTTGAGAAGGAAAAAAAGCTTGAAATTATATTCCAATTTTTTGCTGTTGTTGTAGAAGATCTAAGTATGTTTTCATTTTTAAAACTGCAGAAATTAGTAATATCTTAAATAATTATAATCTGGAAAAGTTGAGAAAGTTCCACTGCCTGAATGATTTTGACAACATTAGTATAGTATGACAGCACAGAGTTATATTGTTAGAAAAAAATACTTCTTTGTATAGTGGTTCTCAGATTTCATTTAGGTATTTTTTGGCTTTTCCTTCTATTCTTCTTTCTTGTTTCTATTTTCTTCTTTAGCAACTACCTCCCATGCCCCTATTGCTATATCCCTAAAATGTTTGAGCATTCCCAGGGCACCGTTGGGATCCCTTAGCGTACATCGGTGTGCCTGGATGGAGCCCGAGTGATTCAAGCCCCGCCGAGTCCTAGAGCTCTGTGTTTAGATGTCTGTAGCACAGAAGTGCGCCCGCCTCGTCACTCTTTTGACAACCTAAGGATTTACCAAGTTTGGTACCTCATAAGCCACGTGAATGTTCTTTTGACCCACTTCAGATCTAAATGACTGTAAAGCTGTTGTAAAATATATTTGAAGTGCCAAAGGTTATGTACTAAGTTATGGTACATTTACTGTTGGAAGTTGGGTTTTGCACTCCGTTAAATTTTAATTTCCTAATTATGCCAAGATGTATTTCGGTTACTCAGTATTTCCATAGAAGTTCTTAAACATTTTCAAATGTTTGGCTGAAGCAAATGGTTTTCTTATATTGTGGATGGAGAAGTGTTGTTTTGAATTCCACAGTTGTTTTCAAGCTAACTGGTATGAGACCTGTAGTATCTACAATGATTTAAATCATACACGCCAGTGGGGTTTAACAAGTAAACTAACCAGTGAATGTGCTCCAATGACTTTTCACTTGCAAGCCAACTTATAATTATTAAAATGAAACTCTACTATATTTAGCACCTCTGAAATCACTTCTTTTAGAATGTAAATGTAGAATATCAAACTGCATAATTGACTAAAAGCAGATCATTTGACATATTTGCATACCAAGAATGATAAGCAGATTAAAGGTAGCGAAAAGATCAATTTTTGTGCATTAGTGAAGACATTTAGTGAAGCTTTGAATGTGCTATCTAGTCTTTATCTGATCTGTAAGTGAATAAAAGCACCTTTTATTTCTAACAGTTTGTTAAGGAAGAGGGGAGAACAACAGATGCAATTTAGGAAAAGGTAAAGTTACTAAGTGTGGCAGAATGGGACACAAAACTACAAAAATATTTGTATGAAGTTCTTAGAGCTAAAGATACAGGCTGCTTTTGGAGCAGTTCTGAAAAGATTACGTGCACGACATTTTGTGCTTAGAAAGTAAATTTTAACTTTTTTCTATATTTTGAGTTTATTTTTGAAAAGCATCTTCAGCCCACATGTATTTTTTGAACCGTGTAGCTTTTGAATTTAAACATTTCATACAGAGTAATTGAAAACAAAGAAAATTCTGTTTCTGCCATAGGATTAAATTGTAAACTTGCCTGCAGATCATTTTAAAACCATAATAACTTGCCACTTAAAGTCAGTCTTTCTTGCCCTTTAAAAGTTAGGGGTGAAAACTTGGGATATTCCACATGATTTTGATTTTCTTCTCTCAAAAATTAGTATAAGGGTTCATCCATGCACACACTGTACTTGGAAATTATCCTTTGAAACTGCTTTGCTCATAGCCATGTACTTTACTTACTTTAAAGAACAAGTATGAAGGCCGTACTTTACTGTTTTATGTAAAAAATTTAAGCTTTCTGCCATTCAAGAAGAATATTTAATATTTATATATGTTACCTCTTGCTGCTGTATTTTACGTTTAGCTTGGTTTTCCACCTACTAATGATGAATGTAGCATTCTCCCTATATTATACATAACTAAATTTGTTGCTGTTGGCTCTGTATCAAGAACTATTTGTAGTTTTCCAGCTGTAAAAATGTTGCCTTGCATTTGGAAAGGTTTCGTGATTTGGGGACCTAATGAAAATCGTGCTCATTAGGTACTGCTCTGCATTTCTTTCTGTACAGGATGCCCTTTCGTAGATGCATCTTAAAACAAACAGAACTGCTGTCTTAAATATGTTTACTGCTGCACTGGAGGTTTATTTACACTTCCAGCTTTAAAGAAAAATTAATGTCCTACGTCAAGTGTGTAGAGTAAGCTCATGCTTTTTTGCTCTTTGTGTATCCATCACTTTTGTAGATCTGTATGATAGAGGCGATAGCTGTGGGCTTTTAAAATGGTGATATTTAAAGCATGTTGACTAACCTCCTCTCTTTGAAGTACACGGTGAAGGATTATAGCGCTGCTGTGTTGATGATGCTAGATTTAAGGGTCTGTCAGCACTTTTGGTATGAAACCCTATTTTCAGGGATTTATAGCTTCTAAATGTAGATGCAGTCGCTGGAAGTGTTTAATATGCAATAGGTAGCACTTTAAACTGTTCGTGAAGGGGTTTGAGATTTGCTTCTGTTGAAAAAGTCATGGTCTCCTAAAGCATGGTGGGCATTTGCTTTACCTTTCGTAATTTGTACATCGAAGAAGCCACTGGATGTTACAAATGGTAGAGCCATTCCTATTCATCTTAGAAGCTTCCAGATGTCTTGTATTACAATGTACTGTAAAAAGCTGAAGATCCAGGTTATACAGGAAGTCTGTAAAAGATACGAACATTGCTTATAACTTAAGGGTTGATTTTGTCTCGTGCAATCAATGGTAGTTTGTCTACATTTAATAATGGTACAGAATCACAGCTGTATGAACATGTGAGAACTATAAACCTAGAATGCATGAAAAACTTTATTTTTTGTTTCATTCTTGCAACTTCAGCTCCTTTAATTTGATTAAAATGTTATCTTAATATTTTAGTTTCTGTTCATTAAACAAATATTGCATGTCTAACACTAATAAAGCACCACAATGCACTACCACAGTATTTCTTGAATTGTCATATTAATCTGTGTTAAGCAAAGCATTGTAGGGTAGCCATTGAGGGACATCACTTCGGTATTGTCCCAAATGTATAATTAGTGTAAAAAAAAGAGAAATGTTTTAAAATGTGCTAATATTTATGTATTTTTTAATATATATAACATGTATGTCTTTTTTTTTTCTTTTTCTTTTTTTTTACCACGGTCCCTTTAAATGCAGCATTCCTCTGATTCTGTGGTTGGGCAAATGTTACTCCATGATCTTTGGCAGCGCAGGCCAGAGCTGCATTTAGCATGATGACAAACGCTGTTCAGATTTTGATATGGAAAACATGATGTTTCTCTTCATGCTTGACAGAAAAAAGCCTCAGTCAAAATGACAAAACTGGAGCATTCTCTTCCACCTCCGTGCCCCATACGTGGTTTTTCAATGCTCCCACATGTTTTTCAACACCTTTCTCTCAGAAAAAATAGTACTTTTGCCTGTCTTCTTTTCCTCTTCCTTGAGGCAGCAAGACAGCAAATCCTGTCCCCTGACAATAGTAGGTTTTCTGGATGGTAAGGTGATATGAAGAGTGGTCCTGACTCAGGAGAAGATTGTTGCGAGTCGTTCACTCAGGTACCTGGAGGCTTGAGTTTCCCTGGAATATGATACCTTTACTTGCAGTTAACTTACTCCATGTCGAGGCCTTTCATCGTACCACTGTGGATTCAGAAGCTTTATAAAGGGTTCTTCTCTTTGAGG